TTTTTTTTATATATTATTGACGAGATTTATGAGCATGCTAGATACGTGGAGGTGATCTATACGTGTACCAGACAGCCTAAAAGTGGGTAGTTTTACCTTAACTATAGTTATATGCTAAGATTGTGTTGTCGCTAAAATTCCATGTTTCGGTGAAATATCATATTGTTGTCGTACATACAACTAAATTATAGCTAAATTACATTATATCGAAACATAAGTTTCTTTTTAACACTTTTGAATCGTGATATGCAACGATAAGATTCCTGGAAACCTGACTTTGAGCTTTAAGAAAAAAAATTTTTTTTTAGAACAGACTTAACAATGTATAAAAAAACCTACTATTTTTACATAACATGAAATATTTATTATTACACTTAATCTTCAAAATCACTTAGGGGCATAATACGTTTCAAGTTTTTTTTTTTTTTTTTTTTTAACTAATAATAATTTTTATACAAGTATTATTTTGTAATTACCTATAATGTAAATCGGACAGTAAAATTGTATGACCTTGGGCTCGGGTTTTGATTTTTAATCTCGTAATTTGTATAAAACTAAGTTAAAAAGTCCACTGCACATCTTAAGACAACCTTATTATCAGTTATTCATTATGAACAATCCATCAAAAAATATTCAAATTTAACCGTAAAAATTAATTTAGCGCTATAAAAATTTCTACATGCTTCGTCAATTTTTAATAAACATATACGTATATCTTATTACCATAGTTATTATAACAATGGTTAAAAATTAATTCTTTTTTTTTCACTGAGAGTTCATAAGACCTGACTAGGTCTATTGTAATAAAAATACAAAAACTAGTGCAGACTGCAATACTGACAGTCGAAAAAAATGTACGCACCATTGTAAAATTAAAATTTCATCTAATTGCTCGTACAAAGTTTGTGCTAGAATAAGTAGTTAAAAAAATACTGAAAATAATTCTTCAACGGTATCGACAGTTTTAAATTCTTGTTACTTCAATAAAAAAACTAGCGCTAAAACACAAAGTATTTTTGTATGCAAAATATGTTGGTGCAGCGCAAAGCCAAAGTTTGGTCTAGCTGTTTAAAAAAAAAAAAAAAAAAATATGTATGCTTGTTTCAATATGTGAATCCGTACACGTTGCGGATGTCCACAATCGTGTAAATTATTACTTGATACACTGGGGTGACAACTACCAGCCTTTGTTGGTGTGGGGCATTACAGCTTTTGTTGCACAGAAGCTAGGAAATATTTTTACCTTTGAATTATATGTAGGTGTATAAGCACAGTCAATCAGTTTAATACTGCATTAGGTGTGCACTGAATGTTGTAAGAATCGTAAAAATTGTATTTTAATAATTTTTCGAAAAAAGGATAATGTTTAATACGATATAATGTATCAATATGCATGAATATGTTTTATCAACTTGGAATTAATATAAAACGACGAATAAATTATATTAAAATAATATTTAAGTTTTAACTTTTGAATGCGGTACGTATGTTAAATATCCGGCTTAATGGCGCATGTGTATGTCAGACAGATAGTCTCTACTTTGCCATCACAATGCCCCAACGGCCAATGAAAGTTAAACGATAGACGCTAGACTGGCACGCCTGCAGGCCGCGCCGATTCAAATCTCTGATCAGCAATATTTTTTTTAAATTTGATATCGACATCATTTATCATCAACTGCGCAAAGCCATGAGACGTTAGGTTTTCCAGTTAAATTAATTTTTTTATTTATCAATTGTATATTTTTGCAAAAATTATATTTTTTTTTCACAGAAACTTAACTGTTTCCAAACAACAAAGCATTTTTTACTAAGAGGTTGAATTTTTCTCTAGAAGTTTTTTGTTATGTTTATATATGTATTAAGTTAACATACTTAATTCTTTTATAATATGACACTGTGAGCTGCAATAGGTTTATAAAAAAAAAAAAAACTTAGATATTATTACATATTACAAATAAAATTTGATTACATTTTGGGCAATATCCCCAAAAAAATTTGATTAAAAAGTTCTATTGTCACTAAAATTTAAATGAAACTATCAAACACATATCTCCCTTTCCAAAGTTTTATTTTTTAATTCAGCTAATTTCTAGGAACACAAATAAAACATTTTTTTAAATCCATATATTTAATAAAA